TGCACAAAAAACTCTGCTCTGTAGAAACCCCATTTTTTGGGGGGGGGGGGGGGGGTTTAAGATGGGTTTTTTTTTAATGTCAAAAAAATTATAAATAGATTTCCATACAAAAAATAGCTAAACAGCACAGAATCAGTCCTTCTTAGAATACTTTTCGCCTTTAGGATAAAGATGATCTTGACTTACACTTTGCTGACACTCCCTCACACACACAAAAGACTTTAAGGTATGTACCTTATTTGGAAGGGGAAAAAATATTGTTTGAGCCACTTATATGAACAATTAAAAAAAATCTCATATATCAACATGCAATGATTTCTCCTTTTTAACCTTGCTAGAGAAAGTTCACCACTCTTTTTGGTATCATGTGTGTTATTTTTACCAATATGACTACACTCATTTTTTATTTTAACATAATATTACATTAATATCACGGATATTATTAAATTTTCTTTAAATAAATTTAAAAAATGAAAATTAACACTTAAATTTCGCATGACGTCTGACTAAAAAAAAATGCAAATTAAATTTGATAACATGCTAAGGAAAAGATATGTTTTTTTAAGTGGGTCACACTCTAAGGTCAAGGTCAAAGGTAAAAATAAATGGTATCCAGGGAAATACTGCGTCACATAGAATACAATTAAAAATATATATATAAAAGCCATGGCACTAACTGTTCAAAATTTATGGAAAAAGTTAAACATTTTCAAAGGAGGACGGACTAACTCCAAGGTCAAAACATCAATACTATTGGTCTTGTCACAATGAATAGACATTTGAGGTTTGATTGTCGTAATTTTAACTGTTCAATAATTATGGCCAAGGTTAAAATTTTCTTTAAAAAGGGCCGGACTTTAAGGTCGATGTAAAAAATAACCTATGGAAAGGACTTCTCATTATTATAAATACACATGTGAAGAATATATGAAAGCCCTAGTGCCATTTGTTAAAAAAATATTATCAAGGTTTAAGTTTAGTTAAATTTTTGCAAAAGTGGTCAAACTCCAAGTTCAAGGTCAACAGGTAAAAAATTTTGGCACTCAAAATCATCGCTCTTACCAATCAAAAGTTATGGGCAATGTTGAAGTTTTTGAGGACAAATAGACAGATAGACGGACGGACAGGAAAAAACTATATACCCCGAATCTTCCATGAAGAGGGCATAAAAATTGTAACTTTAACATGCAACATTTTATATGAGTGAACATATGGTTTCTGAAACTTAAAATTATAATAATTATCATTTCAATTACATACATGTATATTTATCTGGACATACATGTAGCTTACACGTACAAGCTAACATAAAAACGATAAAGACATACATATTGAAATGTTGTGGTATGGACCATGAATATATATATTTCTGAAAGTGATAAGTGTCATCCTAGACAAGTTGCGTATCTAGAAAATTATTAACAATGTCGACGCGACATATAATGCCAGAATCGTTCCATCGAGCTTTGAAATAAAGTGATTAGGTACGTAGAAGCAATGGCGAGGAAGCGATAGCGCATAGCTAGATGACAAAAAAAGATGTGTTTCTGAAACACTGATGCCCCCGAAATAGCGAAGGTTAAATTTTCTCAAATGCAAATCAACCATGTTGATACCCAAAGTAAGGCCTTCTCACAAGAAATACAAATGTGAAATGTAAAACCCTAGCACCACCTGTTCAAAAGTTATGGCCAAAATTAACCTTTTTTTTTTTTATTTAATAAAACTCCGACATCAAGGTCAAAGGGTCGAGGTTGTTGGTTTCTAAAGAAAGGCCTTGTCACACAGATTACATATAGGTATTATGAATGCCCATGCCCTAACCGTTCAAATGTTATTGCCTAGGTTAAAGTGTTTTTGAAAGTAGGTCAAACTCCATGGTCAAGGTCAAAGGGTCAAAGTAGTTGGTATCCAATGGTCTTGTCACAAAGAATACATAATTATATGAAGTATTATAGCCCTAGCCCTATTCAAAAGTTATTGCCTAGGTTAAAGTTCTTTTTTTTTTAAATTTTTTGCGTTGCATTCATCGTTATGGCGCTATTTCATCATCGGTATCCAACATCGTCACATCGAATGTGCAATAGTGCGACAGTGAAGGACATGACAGTATCTAGATTTCAAAGTTAAATGTTGATTTCAAGAATTATTGCTAACTTATGTCCTCAACTGCATCAATTTCATTTAGCAAACTCCTAAGATAAGCAACCGATCAACTGTGAAGAGCACATATAACCAGGAGAAACAGCAGTATTACAGCTTTCTGGGAATCTCAAATCCGTTCCCACCGGTATCCCGAGAACAAAGTAAGAAATGTGCACTGGAAAAGATTATTTATCGTAACTTCGACCATTATTACATCTTTATGAATCGGTTGTCTAATGCACAAGGTCAATATTATTCATAGATTAAAGGCCATTGAAATAATTTGTTTAATTACTGATATAAGTACTGAATAGGTTTAACATTCTGCGTTTAATCTTGTTTTAAAGTTTTTTTTTTCATTCAGACAAACCCGGAGGATCGCTTGCAGTCACATTACCTCCTCTTACTTCTTCCTTTAGAAAGACGTCTTATCATCCTACATCGGAGAAACGGAGAGTGTCGACATCTAGCACACCTTATGAAACAGGACACTTTCTTCGAAAACCGTCAGAAGAAACAAAGAAAATGTTAACTGAACTTGATAAAGATGCCACGTCATCGCATAAAGTCGAAGGGGTCGAAGCCGAGGCTACTATCACCGAACTTCCGGAAAGGACCCCAGAACCGGAAATATTACATGATTTTCCGGAGTTGCGCAGTGGTGTTGATTCTAAGCCTGAGCGCATGCGTCGTCATTCTTCATATGCTCCTCGTTACTGTTGGTGTACGCGATGTCAGATAATGTATAGAATGTATAAAGAAAATGATAATAACTTAGAGGGATGGGGTAATTACCCTTGTTTACACTTTTGAAACAGGAATTATCAGTACTAAGACTTTTTTCATTAATGCAGTTATCTGACTCTTCCCTAAACGTGACGGTGAAAATCGGTTTCATTTTAATATTTATTAAAAAAGAATCTTGCGTGTTCTTATTTTCTCGCAAGAAGGTTGTGGGGAATATGTTACATTGGTGTCAATTTTTGTATTTGTGCCGACATATACTAAGAAATTATCCTTTATCTCAGGAGAGTTATGATCGTGGATTCCTAGATTGTGCCTTACCTTCGAGTTTACATCCACAATAATGATAAACTTGTTTGTTTGTTCGCCGAATCTTCTATATATTGTTTTTTTTTTTCAAGTTGCTCACAAGTTGTTGACGACCAGGAACCTCCCTGACTTTCAGTCTTGCACTATTTAGACTACAGGTTTAGGTTACCATGTGATAATGATGCATGCAAAAAAAATGTCATTTAAGGAAGCTCTAAACACTGCACACTAAAGAGTTCTATTTAGGGTACGTAATTTGTAAAAAATTAAAACATTTTCAGCATAATATTAGACGAATTCATTTTCTTCGTTTATTTTCCCTATAAATGTAAGTAAGCAACAGTGGTTTCTGATCACGAATAGTCTAATTGTCTTTGAACATTTTTCCTGTGGAAACAAGGCAGGCACCCTATGTTGAAAATTACTTAAATAATCCCAATATGCATACCTTATATGATACATTTTTCTCCAAGTGTTTAGTGTCTCAGTGTTTAGAGCTTCCTTAAAATAGTTGACTCTAAATGTTGTCTTTATTTTATCAGAATAACCGAAGTCATTTCTATTAGACTGACAATGTCCTATATACATGTAGTTATTGGAATAACAACAGCAATTCTGTCACAATTAAATGGTTTCCTACTATTTGCTTTGATTTAAAACGTTAGTTATTTTAAGGAAGCAATAACTACATGTATATAGGACATTGTCAGTCTAATAGAAATGACTTCGGTTATTCTGATAAAATAAAGACAACAGTTGGTTATTTTATAGGATGTCCTTCTATCATATGAATATTTGTGAACTTATTTTTAAAAGTTACAAATGATGAAAAGATCAATACTTTATGAAACTTTCACAAATTCTTTTTTGGATAATGCTATTGTGACCTCTTATTTCACTTTTTGATCCGACATTCTTATTTCGGGTCTTCCAGAGCAAATCATGAACATATCCATTATTATCATATGGGAGGCAGGGTTATCATTATGCGCCCGAATCGATAGATCCGATGCGTATATTGTTTTTGTCCTATCTGTTTGTCTGTTTATCTGTTTGTCTGTCTGTCTGTTGTCAACTTTAACCTTCGCCATAACTTTTGACCCATGAGAGATAGAGACTTCATATTTGGTATGCATACTCCACCAATGAAGCTCTTTCAAATGACATCAAGGTCAATGACCTTGTGACCTTGACTGTGACTTATATGCTAAAAATAGCTTTTTCGAGCTTTCGCCATAACTTTTGAACCATGAGAGGTAAAGACTTTATATTTGGTTAGCATACTCAACTAATAAAGCTCTTTCAAATGACATCAAGGTGTATGACCTTGTGACCTTGACTGTGACCTATATGCTAAAAATAACTTATTAGAACTTTCACCATAACTTTTGAACCATGAGAGATAGAGACTTCATAGTTGGTATGCTTACTTCACTAATTAAGTTCTTTCAAATGGCATCAAGGTCAATGACCCTGTGACCTAGACTGTGACTTATCTGCTAAAAATTGTTTATTGGACTTTGGTGCCACCGGGCGCATAGTGTTTCACAAACACATCTTGTTAAATAAAGTGTGCTCAGTGCTCACTGTACCTCTAGTTTCATCTTACAAACTTGTACTTATATAAACACAGATTTCAATGTCATTTTCAGATATTTTTAAGAAATGTTTTTGTAGCATCTGATGTTTTGTCCGTAAAATATCACACTGCAGTGACTTACTTAGGGCCTATCTTTACTATTGGTAAGCTGGAGCCATCTGGGAAATAATGGCAGAGCGAAAAACATACCACAGACATAAGATTTTACTGTGTAAATAATATATTTTCTCATTGTAAATATTTTACAGAACTTTAAAGATATGTCAAATATATGATAAATTGCAATATATACATATAAATGCTAATACAGTATATAGAATAAAAAGATTCTTAATGAAAATAAACTGTAAACAAAAAGAGTGACCTCCCCTCTCAGAGCATTTTTTACATTATTCGATTTCATACACTAAAGTTACGGACTCTTTCTCTTTCACTCAATGATACAGATGTAAATTATTTGGAGTCTGATGTAGAAACATTGTTTTGTGGGAAAATAACAAAAAAGTCATTAGACCTTATTTATTTTGTCAGATTATACACTTTTCAAAGTCTTATTCCGCAAATAATGCTTAAAGCATTACATTAAATTCCGACAACAGTTCTCGACAAACTTTAAAGCATTAGAAGATGTGTTATAAATGGAAAAATGCCTATAACATTTACATTTTAGCTCCATGACACATAGGGGTCACCGTATCCAATGGCCGGTAGGGGGCGTCTAGTTTCCATGTCATAAACGTATGGACCAATCATCGCAGGTTGTGGGTAAGGTCTTCCGTAATAATAATCTGGTCCCATTTGGCTCTCCTGAAATTCCCGCCTTTTTTCCAAATATTCTTTGTCATCATAACGCTCTCCACCAATGTAGCAACCAGCAACTGAGTAAAACGTTGCCGAGAGTGCAGCAAGGATCATACCAACCCATCCCAGGATGTAGGACCAGCCGTAGGATCGAGTTGTAGCAGATTGTAATGGCTGTAAATATAAAAAATTCGCCTTCAACCTTGGTAGATTAGATTACTAGAAAATGTTTATCTGGAGATCAAATAACGATGACAAATCAATTCAGAAAAGCACAATGCAAAAATATTTGAATTGCTACATTAGTACATTTGGTAGACTGAGAATTTTCTAGTTGTTATCTAAGTACATGTAGTATTAAAATTTTATTACATAGTAGCTTGAATTTCATTACGCATTAAAAAGAACCTTTCTTCTTTTTTCATTAAATTCAAAGTTACAATTACCTGATTACTATACAGATTTAACGAATTAAGTAAATATTGAAGCAACCATTGAAGAGAATGCCTTGAATAGTTATTTAAATGGAATTTACATATTCAGTGACAAACCAACCCACGCAATTAAAATCATAATTAAACTGAAGACGACGTCGAGTTAGGGAGAAAACTGAGCTTTTAATCAGCTGTCGTTAAAGTACATACTTCTTGAGAAAACCGGTTTCAAAACAATTTTGTTCTCTATTAAAAAGAAATATTGGATTTAAACATAAAGTATGCTTACAAAACATTGCACAGTGAGTTAAACCTGGTAATTCATTATTATCAAAAATATCTATAAATTAAATGAGCTGGATTCAGGTTCCTCTAAAGTATTTATAGAACAGTTCTCTTTTCTGTTTAACAAAGAAGTCCATTTTGCAGATTTATTTTTTTTTTTTTGGTCCCAGGAAACTGTTCTGTTACAGTGTATATCAATACATTCGGACTTCTAACAGTGGTAAAATATTACAGTGAAATCTGAGATTCATGTCTGAGTCAATTTCTGAATTTAACATATCAATTATGGATCTTACACGACTAGATTCATATTTTTTTTTTAAAAAAGTTTTGATTCTATGACAATGTTCACTGTACAAAGGATATGTAGTAAGATTACAAAATAAGGTTAGAACCCTAAATTTAAATCTATATAGAAACCATAGTTGTCTTTTCCGTGTGCTATTTTTTTAATTGAAGAAAATAATTAAAACCTACCGCAGGCCACTGTGAGTAGAAGATATCTTTGTCTTCAATTTTATTCCTCTCCAGGTATTCAGCTCCGTGAAAAAATGCTATGGCTGCTGCCGTAGCAAATGCTGCAAGGACAAACATGAACCAATAGATTACATTTTTGTACATATGGGAAAGGTTTTTCGCTGTTTCATATGTATGACAATAAAAATAAACCCAAATTTGAAAAACATACTGCTGTACCAGGAATCAAAACCAGCACCATTGTACTGGTTTATGAAAACCGCTATATTTCTTTGAAACTAAATTTAATATTATTTTATGAAAAGTTTTTAATATCTCAAGTTCACCATGAAGGATTTTTCCCTTCATTTATCATGTTTATACACAATATGGAATCCCCTAGTTAAAAAATGATATCTTAAAAGTTTGGTTGAAATTGGCCCGGTGGTTCTTGAGATGAAAATATCAAAAGATTACAGGTTGAAGATGACCATGACATGTAATTAATGCTGAATCTGTCTTAAATTTATTTCATTGAAATTGAATGGTTATTTTATAAATCAAAGCTTGTGAAGATGGGGTTTTTTTTTGTGAAGGTGGTTTGTTATGTGAAGGTGTTTTTTTTTATGTGAAGAGAAAGGTGGTTTTTGACAAAATGGTTAAAAAAAAATATTGGTGTGTTTTTTTTTTAATATTTAATGTGAAGGTTGTCTCTTCTCAATTTTTGCATTTAACAGCTATTTGAAATTTTGAAATTAAAAAAATCTTTGTAATAATTTCATTACACCATGAAATAACCACATAAGGCAGCTATGGCGTTCCATACTGAATAGTTTTAAAACATACAATGGACAAAGGACAAGGCGTGGTAATGGCTCATCATTTGATGTGAAAATCAAAACAAAGCTATAAAAATTGTTTTAGTTTGCAGTTTATAGATAATTCATGGCTAGGTATGAAAATCACTCATTCACGGTGATAATCACTCATCAATTGTGTTACCTGCTATATAAGCACACAGGCCGGCGATGTAGGCCCATTTTGATCTTCTCCAGCAGCAGACTACCAAACCAAATATAAAGGCCAACAGGAAGACAACTAGCGCCACCACGTAGAAAGCCAAAAAACAACGAGAAAGGTCTGAAATATACATAATAAAAAAATGTCAAATGGCAAACAACAGCTGATAGTTAATATAGATTTTACTTTTTTTAAAATTTACTTTTTAACTTTTCAGTATTTTAATCAGTATTTATCAAATTTCAAGACATGAGGATGACATATGCACGCTATATAAATTACGCATTATGAAATATTTAATCATTTGTATTCCCTTACGGATTCTGGCGAGGAATTCGGTACTTGGGTTGGACGTATGTGATTCTGGCACATCGTAATCGATGTTAAAACAATAGTTATCCACAACGTCCTTTGATCTCGATAAAACTGAAAGAAGAACATACATGTACATGTGCATTACTCAAATAGTCTAAAATAATTCCTTAAAACATGATTTTTTAAAAACAAATACAATGCAAACAAATTAATTTCACCAGTGACAGGAAATATATGTACCCACTACACGTGAAGCATGTTGTCAAAATAAGCATCTTTCATTTGTAATTTGATTTTATTGCTCTATATATTTAAGATTTTCGGAGCCACCGATAAGAAAGATAACTCTTACTAGTATTAGAGATGATCTTAAGAGAAAAATTTAGAAATTTTCCACCACAAGGTTTGCTCAATTTTGTTTGTGTTTCAAGTATAAAATACATGATGAAGATTTCTTTCAAAAAAGTCATTAAATGTTATTATGCATGGTTTATATGAATTTCATTAAACTTGAAGATGGTGTGCTAAAATTATTTATGTAATTTAAAGAAATAAAGAAAGGAACTATATGCACTGTTCATTACGTAAGGTGAAATCGATCGTCAGTATTACATGGTCATTAAACTGTATATTGCTTAAATTATTGATAGGTGTTGTCCAGTACAGGTGTTAATAACTGGGAACGATAACAAATTATATATGTGGGTAATAAATGAGTGTTGTTACCGAAAGTACATAGGTATGTATATCGAACTTAACTTTCTCTCAAGTCCAATACACAGTTACACACCCATTTATTTCAGTCTTGGCCCAATGAAGTTTATACACTGCATCAGTCTTGGTCAATAGTTTATATTTTGATACGAAGAGACTTTGTACCTGTCAGTGAAATACCAAGGGACCCCCCCCCCCCCAACACAAACACATTTATCAATGGAACGACTGGCAGGAAAAGATAGCCCTATATTCATGTACATACTGTAGGAATTAAAAATAGGAAAATCAAAACAGTTTACTACACTTCGTATTGAAGGCAATGCATCTATTTGATACTAAAACTGACATTAATGATACGTGAATCTCTGTCTCATCTTGCGGTGCGTTTTTCCTAATAGACACAACTGTTTAATATTTCCTATTCATGAACAAGAGAGTTTTAAAAAATGCCAATTTTCTAAAGAAGGTATCAAGTTTCCTGCGAAAATTCACATCAAAACTATTCTAGAGCTTAATACCCATTACAATTACAGCCTGGTAAATAGACCCATTTCTAAGTCCTTTATTTCATTAAAGAAGAACTTTATGAAAATCAAAAGCATTGAACTAGTTTAAATAATGATTTCAGTGGGGGGGGGGGGGGGGCAGAGAATTTTTTTTTAACTCTAAAAATAAAAGACAAAAGGGAACAGTTGCCCCAAAGTCGAAAATCTTATTCAAAGTTGGGGGGGAAGGGGGTGGGGGGTGGGGGGACCTACTCTTTTAATGAACATTTCAGAATATAAATTTTGCTAAGATGTTAAAATTTTCTCATTCTACGTGCCCGAAACCCATACAACTGCATATATTTTGTTTTGAAACCTACTTTCTTCTTAAAAAAGAATGAAAATTTTGCTAAGATGTTGTAAACTGTTGATGCTCCGTATTTGGAGCCTTGTCTTTTCAAGCAGGTGTTCGGACTGATTAATAACTCTCTGCTCCAGAACTGAGCCCTATCTTTTCCAGTAGGTCTCTGTTGTTGTTGTCGGTTGTTTTTTTTTTCAAACACGTACATAAAAACTTGTTATCCCCTCACAACGGACTTGGAGGGGATAGAGTAACGCTTTTGTGTGTGTTTTGTGTGTGGGTTAATTTTTACAGTGCGAAAAGGAAGTGATGTTATTTGCATCGGGATCAATGTCAAATGCTACAGCTATACCTTGGTTAATAATAGATAATTATGCTTTTCGCGAGGCGATGCTCTGTTTTTCAATGCCCTTGTTAGTTTTCTTTAAAACAAGGAACTATATTGAATTTCCCAACTAATACCCTTGGTTGACGTATCATGCTTAAGATGTAAACAACAGTTTGATATTATTTTTGGGAAAAGTGTCCAAAAGAACAGTAACCCAAGTAATCAAAATATGGAGCTTTAATATCTTTTTACCCATGCAACAAAACCACAAATGTTAATTTTTTTAAAATATTTTTTTTTTCATATCTCATTACTCGACCACCAGGAAGATAAATAATTACAGGTAAGCAGTAAATAGTTAAAGTGTTTATGCACGTAAAGGAGGAAGTATCTGGGTTTACAATAAAATACACGTAGATTAAAAGAATACAAATCGCATTTACAAAGATTTATCTCTTATGCTTTAAATTACACCACAATCGGATAAGTGGGTTATTTTTCAAAAATTCCATTGTCCATCCTAGACACTAATCATAGAGAATATTTATGTAACGCTGTTACATAAGTGCCTGATCATTGAAAGATGATCCAGCACTGGACAGACCAATTTACGGTAAATGGTATATATTTCGACAACTTTTAAAAATGAATTTTGTGAACAGTCTTACATGCATACATGTAAATCTTCATCCTTTAAATTTTGTTTTGTACTTTTTTTAAAAATATGCAACAACCGACCTTGATCTTATCAAGTAATGAGCTGATTCCCCAAAGTTGCTACGACAACATAAGGTATGCTCTACCTCGCTTCTCTTTTAAAATTATATTTCTCTTTTTCCCCCAACGTATCCGGTCACTGATCCAGCCACGGTCGTATCTTCGTACAAGGTTGGTTGATTTAATTTCTCCTGGGTACGACCATTTAAATAGAAAGAATTGCGAGTGCCGATGCATCACTTCATGGGAGTTATTTGGCCAATAAAAATACTATGTGAGAGGGGAACACAATGGTTTTCCGAGCCTCGTGTACGATGACCACCGCATTTAGTTTTAAAATTGCCATGCCTCCGGATATTTGTCATCTCATTAGGGCTGCCACGGTTCAGACATTTTTCGGTTCGGTTCGGTTCAGAAAATACATTCTCGGTTTTCGGTTTTTTCGGTTCGGTTTTCATTTTGAGAATTTAAATAAAACATCTTTATATATATCAAAGGATAATAAGGATTAAGGACATTGTAGAAAGTACTATTTTGCTGACACAAATTTCTATCCATTTTATTCAACAGAACAAGTTGTTAAATGTAACAAAAAATAACAAAGTAATAAACTTCTTGTTTAAAATAAAATAACATATTAAATATAGTTATTGACTGATTATCACCAAATCACAATATACGTTTTTGAAAGTCCATTTGACAAAACAATTGGGTTTTAATCATTGTTTAGGGATAAAACTGACCCCTATAAAGAAATAAAATAGAGACTTGTTACATAGACTTCTATATATCAATGGAAAGATAAAATTGTGAATTTTATACATATCCAACTGTAATACATTTATCAATTACTAATAAGGGGTATTTGACACATGAAACATGGGGGATATTGGGTTGTTTATGCATCCAATTTCAGTGCACCTATGCATTTTTAGCCCCCCTGCACAACAAAAACAGTAAAAAGCTGACAAAATAAGATATGTGCATTTTACAGAACAAGTCCTAAGGTTTTCTTTTATTGTGCTTTCAGATTTAATTTTTCATTACCTGCTACTTGGCAATTCTGCACATGTAAAAACCTGATTTAAATAAAAAGAAAAAAAAATCTATCAAAATAAATGCACATTTTTTTCTTGTGATATTAAGATGAGAATCTACTTTATGCAAATAAAAACAAAAAAAGATGCAGTTTTTATGGCCATAAATAAAAATTCCTTACCCAGCTATTCTCTCTGAGAGGATTTTATACGAAACACAATTACTTGTGATTTTGTGTATGCCATGTTTAAATGTCTTCTCGTGTATATGGTTAAAGAACCCTTCATTGAAATAAACAACCAATCACAACGCTTGTTGCAAGCAAATTTTTATATAATTGTCAATTCCGGAAAACCTGACCGAACCGATATTTGTCATCTTAACCGTGACATCTCATATCAATCTTTCTTTTCAAAATAAGAAAACTTAAATGCGTTACTTATGAGTTTACATTTCAGAGACTAACATGTGATGTATGTGTAGAATGCAGCAATATCATCTGGGAAGAATTGCAGTAATTTTATACCTCACGCATATTTTGCATCTTACAGCATTGTACTGGTCATATAGGAAATTATTTTTCTGTATTCATTTTCAAATTTAAATTAGTTTCAAATGAATTTAATGTATTATCTACGGCTATAAAACAAATTTTTCTTCTTAAAAATTTTCAAATACTTATTTTGTTCTTTTATTATACTCGATAAATTTTGACTTTTTTCCAACCAAACAGTCATATTTATAGCCAAAATGAACGTGGCATATTTCTTAGCAAAATTCTTCAGTTTATTTTAATAAATACCTTTAATTGGGAAAAATGTTATAAAAATTCATGTATTCATAGGTAAACAATTTTTACAGTGTGTAGAAAAAAATCTCACAAAATCTTTTCAACGAATCAACTTGCCTGTGTTCAAGTTGTATGGATGACAAATGAAAACATGAAACGTTTAATTTAACACAGATTTTAGATTAGTCTAGAAGGACCATTAATTATGAATACGCAGTTCACATTATTCAAATTAGAAGATTGACTCAAAACGTAGGACACATAGAATATGTACATTTTAAAGAAATATATTTTTGTTATTTTCAACAAACTTCAATAGCTGTGAATATTATGTATGTGCATCACTGAAAGTAAATGTTTACGATACAAGAATATTTCCATATGTGCTCAATGACTCCTGATGAAAAATAAGATGTTCATAACTTTAAGGTATAGAGGGAAGGGCCGGGATGTTGTAGTGGACTCAGCATTGTTCAATGGGAATCTACGGGTACGTTGTTGAAAGTCACTCATCTTTGAAATTCCTCAAGCACACCTCGAAATTCGATCTGACCGTGAACACGGTTATCTAGGCCAGGGGAACAACCTCTTCTTCTGCATCAGACGCGGTCAATATCATTATTTTAAGTTAGTAATATAATGTTAATTTTATCACAATTTTATTCATTATTGTGATTTTGCGTCGGCAACTGGACAAGACATTGGGTTTACACAACATCAAACATTGACATACTGTTTTGTTTTGTTTTGTTTTTTTTACATTTTTACGATGATATTATATCTAGAAATTAACGCGTTCATTATCTCACAAGGAACTTCATTAAAACATTAAATGAACAATTAACTGATAGGTATTCAGGTATTAATCATATGCCTTTGCAGAAAAAAATGAGGCGACACTAGTCCTGTCCTCGAACACACAAAAGCAGGTAGCGCGACCAGAATTGTATTGAACTACAGGTAAAAGATATATATCGATCAGATACTGTCCACAAATTGTTTTCAACCCATGAAAATTTACTGAAATAAAAACTTGCTAAGAATACATGTAAACTTTAGAGACAAATCATATGATCGGCCATTTTTGGGTGGGGCAAAGTTAAAAAAAAATAACTGTTCTGCTATAAGAGATCTATTTTTATCCGTGAAAATAAATACTTACATTCGGTATCGTTTCCTGGGTAACATTCCCGGAATATGCCCCTGTATCTTGTGTGAGCAACTCTGTCAAATTCGTTTCCGACGGTGAATTTACTCCGGTCCACCTTAAATTCCAACCAGTGATCGGTGGCAAACGAAACAGCCAGAAAAACGATAGTGATGGGCCCCAGAATGGTGGCACACACCAGCATCACCGTCCCGCAGGTACTTGTCCTCATGGTGATCCTCCCCAAATACCCTCCCTCTCAGGTAAAATATCGAACCTCTGGGCCCAGGTACAGGAAACAGGGCAGGGACTGACGAAAATAAGCCTAGAGTGAACTCACAGACTGTGAAGAAAATCCATATATTGTTTGCTTACTGATCAGTTTACATTGTGGGCCTGCAAAGGTTCCGGACCAGTGATTTCGCATAATGGAGACCTAATGATATATTCGCTGCCATTGCTGAAGGTAAAACCAGGTAAAAAGAAAAAGCGCTGCATTTTATTGGAACAGTATACTCAAAACTTTAACAAATGTGAACGTTTTGGAGTCAAGATGCTTCGAAAGTTTATCTAAATTAACTTACAAATAATGTAAATAATTTAAACATTTTAAAATTCGAGTAAAATAAGTGTAAGGTGTGGTTAGAAGCCATTCCTGAATTCCATCGCATTAAATACTAATTAAAATGTTTCTTTTTTAAGGTAAATATAAAAATGAGGCACATTTTGACTCATGGTCTACGCCTTAGCAGCTATTGAAATAGAAGAATCAAAACTCACGATTACGATATTTAGAAACCAGATTTTCACAATCTTTCAAAATACCTTGTTATGAGAAAACTTTAATCACTGAAAATTTCAAAATTAAAAAAAAAGACTGAGTTTACATATTTAGTAATCTTGAACACATGTATCCCGTCAATTAATTATTAATCAATATTCCAATAAGCTCCTGTTTTCTATCGATTTTCATAATGAGAATGATTCGACATCTTTTATTCACTTTTATTGCAAATATACACTTTTTAAGCCAAGTAGTACTAAAAAAAATTGATGTTTGAAAATTAAAAAAAAATTGACTGTAATAGCACTAATATATCTTAAAGTGAGAAAATTTAACTTTAGGGAAAAAAAGTTGAAATCGGTGTCAAAACGGTGTCTTAAAGTGACCTGTGTTACATGTATCTGGGTATTCTTGATTAACCCAATCGCAACCGTGAACGAAGTTGGAGGGGATAAATTAACGCAAATGTGTGTGTTTCTGGGAGGGTGTGTGTGAGGGTGTGTGTGTTTGTTTGTCATTTGTGTGAAACGGAAGTGACGCATTTGCACCGATATCGAATGCTGACATAGCTCTTTGCGAGGGGATGCTCTACTTTACTGGTCCCCTGTTCTAACAAAAGTTAAACTTCTTGTCCTGCTATTTTTATTTGTTATTTTTGATTTGGGTAAATATTGTAACCTCTGTAGTTACAAATTCTTTAGTCAGTATTTTCAAAACATTATTTCTTGGAGATATTAAAGTTTGTGTTGTATCGTTTAATTGTCTATTTCTTTGTTAGTACCGGTTCCTACGGCCATGATATGCAAATTAACTTTTATAATTCGCTAAGATCCTGATGGCAATCTCTGTTTTTGTTAAAAAGCTTGTGTGCTTCGAAGTTGTGACCAGGAATGCCATATCTTGAATTTGGTATTTTGCATCCAATATTTATGTAAGCTCTTCCAGTATACGCGGTGACTTGGCTAGTTCTTCTGTAAAGAGCGTATCTTTAGATAGCAGCTACATATACGTACGATATTGAACGCACACCTGTCGTCAGACCAAAAATTATCGTTGATATGAAACCAAGTTTTGATATTTTATTATTCCTTTACACCCTTTTCTTCCCTTATCTGTATTTATATAGTATTATCTTTTGGCAAAAGGATAATAAGAGTCTCGTTTAAAAATCTTTTGAATTTTGATGATTAGAGTAAAATTTGTACTCCATTGATATAATCCAGTATAGTATATCGCTGATTTTTTTCTTGAACAGATTAAGGACAGAATTCCGACAGATGATAAAAGAAACAAATAGCTTCTTTGTCTATGTGATTTTCTACCCTTTTGCTTTTCCTCATTAAATTCGCCTACCTTGGTTTATTTTTAAAAGTTAACATGACACTTTAAGCATCAAGCTAACATATTCTGAAATTTATTTTCGTCCATAAACCTTTTCTGAGTGTGTTTTGTCCATATTTGTGATTTCATTGAAGTCAGTATCATATTAACTAATATTTTTCCAAGTGCCATTACGTTCATACAAGAAAATACATGTTATGAAGTAAATGAAATATCAGTTAACAATTGCTCCTTTAGAAACATTTTTAAAGAAAAAAGAGGGTAAATGAATGAAGATTTGTAATCAATTTTACCACGATTACGCACTCCAGTTGTGTACTTTTTGGGGGGAAATGTGGAAGGTATTTCATTCTCCAAGTCCAAGTCTAACATATAAATTGATGCTAAAAGAATTTCAACAACCCTGTTGAAAATAAGCATTTTTAAGCATTCTCGATCCTTGGAACCTGATCCCACCATGAATTTCTAGGGGATTCGTGTTTATTTCTTATTCATTTAGGAAATATAGATTTTTTAAATTGACTCCCCATTTCATTCTCCAGAAAATACATATAAAATTCAAGCAGAAACTTCATAATGACCTTGAAAACTTGATGTAATGTAGATTTCCAAACACCAAAACGATTTCCAGTCGTACTGTGTGTGTGTGTGAGAGAGAGAGAGAAAGCATTTTCCAATTTTAAACAATGATTTTAATTAATTTGCCTTTTTTGTGTGTAAATTTTTCTTTACTGTTATTTTAAAGTTCGCTTTTTGTCCATACCAAAAATACATGGATCGGATTCCCACCATCTTCTTTTGAGGAACATTCGAAAGTTGGTCATTTACCCAAATAGTAAGAATAACCTTTTGTCTATAAAAATCCACAATTCTGAATCTGTGAATCTCCTTAATTTATATGAAAATATAAGGATTTACTTACAGTACATAAATCTCGTCTGAACGCATAGCAAATTAACTTTTACTTATGTGTGTATACCGGTATTTACTCATTATGTAAATTTGCACACATAAGCAAATTTTCGTCATATGAATGGGGTATAAGTAGAAAAAATCCAAAGAATTGTCCCCTTTTCTAAACCTGTGACATGATATTAAGTCTCCCCCAGAAAAAATTGTTTGTATCGTCTGTCCGTAATGAGAGAGAGAGAGAGAGAGGGACTGAATATCTTGTTATTTTCTTATAACAGGAGTTATCGCACTTTGCCAATGATAAGAAAAGAGCCCATCGAAGGCATTTATGATAAAACCGATCCTCTTCTTGAACTGATTAAGTCAGAGAAAAAAAATTTTTAACCACGCATTGATTTATAGATATCTTACCGTGAATAAAAAGCTTAAAAATTAATTAAACAATGGCATGAAAATGTACTCTCGATTTTATTTTTCGACTTCCTAATGTAGTGTGTTTTCCCAGAAAACCCCTCCCCCACATACAATTACTATCTGAAAAATAATAGTCCCGATTAAAACTTTTGTCAGTAAAGTCTAGTAAAATTCCCATTGCTGCATTTGCTGTTTGTTGTTATAGCTACTAGAAGTCTTATGCAAGTCTTAGATTGTATAAATTTGCATATTTTTACCACTCAATCACGATTGATATGAAATCTGTCAAATATATAGTTTCAAAGTGTAAGAAAATACTAGATGAAGATGGCTGGTGTACCAACGACCAGAAAAATTTAACTAATGCCGAACTTTTCCTTGAGATATTTGTTTTTTACTTCTTACAAATACAAAAGAAAAAAAGCGTGATTTTCAATAGTGTGTCATATATGACTTTGCAAAAAGACCGCTGCATCGTAAGTATTTATGAAGGTAATAACAGTGAGGTAGCATCGTTTTTGAAAGGGGGGAGCAGCCAGAGAAAAAAAATTACTTTGTACCGAGACACAGTTAGATCATTCTAACTAGGGGGCAGCCAGAGAAAAAAATACTTACCTGAAAAAGTTGACAAGCAAAAAAAAGAAAAGAAAAGAAAAATAAAAATTCCCCAAAGTTGAAAATCCAATTTCGGGGGGGGGGGGGGCAAATTTTTTTAAACGCCAACTTCTTTCAGTAGGCCTACCAATTTTTTGGACCTACAATATTACATTTCCCTTATATCACATTCCATTATATCACCAGCCTTTCAATGAACATTTCCTATAGTATAAGTTATGTTGGGAAAAAAGTGGGGGAACCAGGCCCCCCTGGCCAATCTGTTGCTATGTGCCTGAGAAAAACTAAATCAGTTGCTGAATGACAATTAATAACTTAACGGACAAACTTTTGGTACGACTTAATTAAACTGACCATTGTTGAAAAAATTGAGAATTATTCCCCTTTGATTTATAAACCATCGTCTGCTCTGAGACATGCCTCTCAATGGTCAAGGAGTGATCTTAAAAAAATAATCATACAGATGTCAAATGAAGGTCTGTCGAGCTATAGAATTGAGGATTTAACCAGAATAAACAGTCGTACCATCCAAAAATTTCTCAAACGTGTGAGGGAAACAGGTAAGGGGAAATCTACCGAGAAGTGGTGTGAAACGAAAAACTTCACAGAGAGATGACAGGATTCTAACTTTTTCCCCAAAGCATTAAAACAAGACAGAATTAAAAGATATGACAACCAATTTCAACGCCAGGGCAGGATCTAATGTATCTCTCAGAGCAGTTCACATACAAAGGAAGGTTATAACTTATAAGAGGTATGTAGTTTCCAAGTTTAGGCACCTGAATTTTTATCAATAAGTCGTGGAATTAGCCAAATATCGATAAATTCAACCCCCTCTATGTATAAATACACGATATTTGATTGGCTAATTTGGCGACTTGATAAAAATTCAGGGGACTGTGTTCCAAAAAAAGAATTGTTTCACGCATAAATATAGAAAAGAGAACCGGCCCGATTTTTGTCAAGTTATTGACAGACATTGCATTGAACTGTTTACTTAACAAATCATTGGTCATCCATAATATCAGTGATGAGACTAAGATAGTTATTGGTAATATTGATAAAGTTCATGTCTGGAGGAAGAGTAAGGAAATGAGTCGGAATGCGTGGAATAAAATGTTATGCTTCCATACGCAGGATTTTCACCACTCTCAGTGTCCTTTAGAAAATAAAACCATAAGCCCCCTCCTCAGATTAAACACATCTTCTTGGCACTAGAAGAGGTCTGAGAGAGATTTGTTTAAGGATTGAATAAGAAAAAAAATATTATAACTTGAAAAATTAAATGACAACACCATATGCATTTCTCATTTTTTTATTGGCACGAGTTATCGCACTTTGCAC